GCTGAAAAAAAGAGAGTGTTTAATGAGTTCCTACATTGTGAAGTCCTTAGATATATAATTCTGGAAAAAAACTACCAACCCCCTCCCACTCTCTCCCCTAACTATCCCCCCACCCTCCCCACCCTCCCTCTCCCCCCTAACGTTCTCTCAGTCAGTGTTTGGTGTCAGCGGGAAGTATATCAGGAAGTTGTCGCCACATGTAAGAGAATCCAGAGAACAAAGAGGATTCTGGATTCCAAGCGCTGGATTCCGGATTCTGAAACATTGTATTCCGGATTCCAAGCCTTGAGATTTCGAATTCCAATGAATTTTTGTTTTTGGATTCCGGATGTCTTTTTGGGATTTCAAAATTTTTGCTGGATTCTGGATTCCAAATATTTGAATTCCGGATGCCAGGATACGGATTATATCCGGATTCCATAGCTGTTTTTTAACCGGATTCTGGATTCTCTTATGGGACGAGAGTAAGAATGGAGAGCTTTGAATCTCACTATAATATTAACTTGGGGTGCTGAGGAAAGTTAGATTTCTCCCGGCCAAGTTGATTATATAAGTGAGCTCAGTCTACCATGAGAGAAAAGAGAAATGTTATCAAAWACCAACCTTTCGAATTTCAACAGCGGGTACAAATCGTCTCCACACGGGCGAAACCAGGACGAACGAGAGATACGCCGCGACGACTGGAGTCGTCTGGAGCTGAACGGCTCCATTTGCAAGTCGCGTTAACGCTTCTGAAAATAAGATCTCTTAGTTTTTACGTGACGTCATAACGGCCATATTAGTGCACACCATAATAAAGTGTTCTGATTGGTCTCTTTAACAATAGTGTCCTTCACGGTTCCCTGCGCCATCTTGAAAGGTAGCCGTGCCTTTGCATCGAAGCGAGACGATCGTTGAGCTTGCAATGATAGAAACCTTTTTTCACAACTACAGACAATTATTCACAGGTATCTACATTGCACGCTCAACGGTCGTCTCGCTTCGATGCAAAGGCACGGCTACCTTTCAAGATGGCGCGGGTAACCGTGAAGGAGACTATTAGATCTCGAGGACGAGAGGACTACGAGCTGATAGCTATCAGTTTGTAGTCCACGAAGCCGAGAGATCTAATTGTTTTAGTATTACCATACACATGTACAAGTTGGACAAAAAATCAATGAAATATATAAATAACTAAATGTTTTTATTGCTAAAAATACGCAAAAAGTTGTCGCTTTTCGCTAGTCGAGGACTATTGAAAATAGACCACGAGTAACGTAGCCAATCAGAACGCATGATTTGCAATAGTCCACTAGTATGGTAATACTAAATAGTCTTCTTCACGGTTACCTGCGCCATCTTGAAAGGTAGCCGTGCCTTTGCATCGAAGCGAGACAACCGTTGAGCGTGCAATGATAGAAACCTTCTTTCACACCTACAGACAATTATTCACAGGTTTCTATCATTGCACGCTCAACGGTCGTCTCGTTTCGATGTAAAGGCACGGCTACCTTTCAAGATGGCGCAGGTAACCGTGAAGGAGACTATTGTCATATACAATAACACGACTGCTGTATTGTTCTCGTTATTTTTCAAGGGATTTTTTGGAAATTAACTAATAAACCTTTCTGTCTTCTTATGTTTCGTTAGTGATATCTCTGCTGTTACATTACATGGCATTGTTTTAATGATGTACTGTTAATTACATATCATTGTTGATGTACTCTTAATTGCATAACATTGTTTTTTAAAGATGTACTGTTAATTAAATAAGATTGTGTAATGAAGTACTGTTAATTACGGCATTGTTTTAATGATAGAAATCTACAGTGTGATCTGAAGGGGATTGATACGTTTACATGTTCCGTCCAAACATATCGCCCTTTAACGTGACAACGATCCTGCGTAATCGTTACGTGTGACCACACGGGGATTGATACGTTTACATGTTCCGTCCACACGTARYGCACTTCATTATCAGTAACGTGAAAACGATTTGCGTAATCGTTACGTGTAATCTACAGCGTGACCACACGGGGATTGATACGTTTACATGTTCCGTCCGCACGTAACGCACTTCAATATCAGTAATGTGAAAACGATCTTGCGTAATCGTTACGTATAATCTGCAGTGTGGCCACACCGGGATTGACACCGTTACATGTTTCGTGAAACGAGCTTGCGCAACCGTTACGTGTAGTCTTAACGTTTTCGTAACAATAACCCAGCACCAAGCACATCTCRCGAAATCACTGCAATTTGGCGAAAACGGGTATGARCATTCGAGCGATATGAATCCAAATTAGGCGACACACCAATTGCACACTCAGCCATAACAAATATATAAAAAAATCATGCAAAAATAGCAAATTCAATATCTGATTAAAACGTGAAAGCACTTGACAACACAATGGCAATGCTACTTCTGGCGTTACTCCGTCGAGATGYGCATAAATATGTATTTTCGCTATGCATATAGAAATTATCCTGCCARGKTTTTTTGACACAGAGACGGATTAAAATTCTAATTCTTGCTGGCCKTACCTGACGCGACAGTTGTGGTCACGAAAATTAATGTTCGGGCATTTTCTATTTCCAAATGACCACAAAACTGTCCTTATAGATCCATCAATTTGATTGTATATATTGCACTGATGTGATCGGAATGATAATGTGATATTTGAAAAAACATATGTTGAATAATTATAAATATGTAAAAGGACGTCTGGGTCAAAATATATTCTAAAGACATACATATTGACTAGAAAGCACTTTAATTTATATCTAAAGCCGGTGAGAAAATACTCGCGAAATATAAATAGCATTATGTTTTCACTGTATTTTCAATTGAATGCGCAAATCTTGTTTGAATAAGCTATAGGCTTGAAATATGAAGGCAATGTGTAGACGCATACAATGAAAATCTCGTTCGTTTGACAACAGTGACTGACAGCAAAGAATAACTGATGTATTCTCTACGAAAACAATAAAATATAAAAAAACTTACCTAAAGCTGGCATTGTCTTGAAAACGCAGGTCAATACCAAACTTCAAAACCAAAATTTCGTTCTGGCTAATATWCGTCCTGCGTTATAAACCACACACGGACAAGCACAGCTGTAATATGSCCTAACTAAACAAGAAAGCCACGAGTGCGATACTTTGACCGGTGCGAGCACTTGGACTTTGAGCACGGCTCCCARTCGTACGATTTCGAAAGCTGTAGTGACGGATGAATGGTCTTTTTGTCATTCAAGTAAGGAWATGCAAATTTTACTTACGATTTCCATAATACTAGCATACAAAACTCACCGGGCAAATATATTGTTGTTATGGTAACACCATTCTTSAATAGAAAAACGAGTTTTTTTGATTTCTTCTAACTCAAAATAAATCGTAGATTTTATTTACACGAATGGGAAATAGTATTAATAACTTAGTTAAGGGTTTGATTTTTTTGTGGAAATAATAATTGAAAATCCAGAAAACAGTGAACATTAAGCGTAAATATCAGTGTGCATATTCCTTAAAGTCCAGCTGCGAACCCCAAAACACCTTTTGTCCAATCTGTATATTTTTCAAAAAATAATAAATGATGCATGAATGAGTAGTACATTTGTAATCATTTCCAAAAATCCTGACCGCTAAATGTWCGTGGGTTAGAAATATTGACGAACTACTGTTTAGTACAGTACAGTTTTATTTATTCATATTCGTACCGGTATCGCCCAATATTCTGTCCATGGAGAAATATAGTACACCGACAAACCAGAAGTACGTTTATAACCAGATTCTCATTATGGACTTCTGGACAGACTTAAAATCTCAAAAAGGGTAGCTAATACTTCAAAGTCAGTTTTGATTTGCCGTGAAATGTCATTTCAATTTTGATTTAAAAATGTTATTTTTATAACTAATGTTTTTACAAGCATAGGCTTAAAAAAGTTKGATTGACCTGGAATCTTACTTAGAGAAAAAAGAACGGGAAAAACTATTCCCATGATGCAACTGTAATGATTTGTAACGTAATGTAATGTACTATGCCATGTTATGGCGTTATGCAACAATCTTATAATACCTATATTCATTGACTGGAAACCAATGTTCAGTTTTGTTTTTTGTTTTGTTTTTTGTTTTAAATGATTAATCAGTTGTTAATTATAGTGGAATATTCACTTGCGGGACGGCTTAAATCTATTTTTTAATTTCTCAAGCATGTGCATACTCTTTTATAGGTGGACAGTCCACCAACGGACACCTTTTTTTCGTTCCCCATGGGGGCGGAG